ACTCTTTTTTTTCGTATCAGCTAAGTGTTGCAGCAAGGGTTAATAAAAACCCGGTGCTGGCAGCATTTGGGAGAGTCAGACCAGAACTCACACAGCCAAATCTCTAGTGGTCCAACACACACACCACTGCACACTGCTTTAACCAACATCACTCTGACCCTCTGAACAGCAATGTTGATTAGAGAAGAGTTCAGGGGGAAGTGCTGGAGAGCTTATCCGCTGCTTGAGAGGGCAGTCTGACTCTCCTAGTGCTGCCAGCACAGAGTTTTCTTTAAAGCAAAAATGAACTATCACTAATGCATTCTGCATTACTTACCTTCCTCCCTAATGTTCCTGAAAAACACATCTTCGTAGTCCTTCCCATGAAGTCCTCTCTGAAAGTTCCAATTGCACCACATTCAATATTGATTGCCTGCCCTGTGGACCAAACACAGTTCGCTATGTCTTCAGGCACTGATACCCTCACTACCCCCATATGCTTCTTCTGGCCATGAGCGATGCAAGTGGACCCCACCTCTGAAAGCTTTGCTGCTGCTACTATTAGGAAGCGTTCATGTCACTGTCTGCATGGTGTGGACCAGCCTTTTTCAACCAGGGTGCCTTGAAGTTTCTTCAGGGATGCCTTGGCAAATTGTTTAAAAATTGCCCAAAATTTGTATACAAGCCAGCAGGTGGAACAAGCCTGCCTTTTAGTTACACAAAGCCAGAAGTTTTCATTGTGCACCATCATAACCTTCTAGCTGCTGGCGTCCTAACAACCAATGACATCATCAGATGATAAGAAGGATGTCGGCTACCTGCACAGCATCCTTGTTTTACCCTCCCCTGCCCCTCTCCATCAGTGCTGGGATCACAGTAGCTGAGTGATGCAAAAAAAACTGAGGGAGGAGAGAAACATAGGCATACTAGCCAGTACCAGTGTGCAAAAGTGTCTTTGCTTTGGAAGAATAAATTACCTCTAATGTTGGGTGTCCTACATGTGTGGATGTTGCTGCGTTATATAAAGCTATTAGAACAGTTTTACAGAATGGGGTGCCTCGAGACTGTCCATAATTTTGAAGAGTTTCTCGGCACTGTCCATAATTTTGAAGAGTCTCTCGGGACTGTCCATAATTTTGAAGAGTCTTTCGGGACTGTCCATAATTTTGAAGAGTGTCTTGGGACTGTCCGTAATTTTGAAGAGTCTCTCGGGACTGTCCATAATTTTGAAGAGTCTCTCGGGACTGTCCATAATTTTGAAGAGTCTCTCGGGACTGTCCATAATTTTGAAGAGTCTCTCGGGACTGTCCATAATTTTGAAGAGTCTGTCGGGACTGTCCATAATTTTGAAGAGTTTCTCGGGACTGTCCGTAATTTTGAAGAGTCTCTCGGGACTGTCCGTAATTTTTGAAGTGTGTCTCGGGACTGTCCATAATTTTGAAGTGTGTCTTGGGACTGTCCATAATTTTGAAGAGTCTTTCGGGACTGTCCATAATTTTGAAGAGTGTCTCTCGGGACTGTCCATAATTTTGAAGAGTCTCTCGGCACTGTCCGTAATTTTGAAGAGTCTCTCGGGACTGTCCGTAATTTTGAAGAGTGTCTCGGGACTGTCCGTAATTTTGAAGAGTCTCTCGGGACTGTCCATAATTTTGAAGAGTCTCTCGGGACTGTCCATAATTTTGAAGAGTCTGTCGGGACTGTCCGAAATTTTGAAGAGTCTCTCGGGACTGTCCGTAATTTTTGAAGTGTGTCTCGGGACTGTCCATAATTTTGAAGTGTGTCTTGGGACTGTCCATAATTTTGAAGAGTCTTTCGGGACTGTCCATAATTTTGAAGAGTCTTTCGGGACTGTCCATAATTTTGAAGAGTGTCTCGGGACTGTCCATAATTTTGAAGAGTGTCTCCAGACTGTCCATAATTTTAGAGGGTGCTTTGACTGAAAAAAGTTTGGGAAACACTGGCGTGGACACCCAGAAGGACCTGTAAACAGAAGAGGGAAAAGATTCAGCACTGCAGGGTCATGTGACTTAGGCCCCGGTCACATCAAATCCGATTTTGAAATTGTGCGACTTACTGTGAAGTTGCACGATTTCAAAATCGGGTGACCTGCCAATTTAAGTTACGATTTGCAAGACATCTGACACAGATGTCTTGCAAATCACAACAAATGTAGTGCATGCACTATTTTAGAAATCGGTGCGGCTCCAGCCAAGTCAGAACCTCACCAATATGACCGCTCTAATAGCGGACAATAGGGTGCGACTTGACATACGATTTGCAAGTCGCATGGCATGCAAATCACATGCCAAATTGCACCTGATGCGATTGGGGTGTGAGGCTGAAGTTGTCAAAGTGGGAATATAGATTGGATATTTATTTTTCAATACAGCATTAACTGATGAGGGGCTTAGAGTGGGTTCACACCGGTGCAGTGCAGTTTGGGTGCATCTTCAAGAAAGCGCATCAAAGTCCTGCATGCTGCATCTATGATGCATGTTTAGAAAATGCACAGTCTAAGGCAAACTCCACATCCTTGTAGGTTGAGGTTAATGCCTTTTTCCGGCACATTTTGAGGTGCGTTTTGCGTTTTTTGAACACGTGTTTTTGCCACGTTTTGCATTTTTTAAAAGGAAAGTATGACAGTTCTGTTCATGTAGTGCAACTTTGATGTGACTTTACACAATCTGGCACTCCAGTAGCATCAAAGTAGTATCAAAGTGGCATCAAAGTAGTGCAGGAACCTTTATGTGCCCAAAGTTGCATGTTAGGGTTAAATGTTAGAGTTAGCGGTAATTATTAGGGTTCGGGTTTGCGGTAATTATTAGGGTTAGCGGTAATTATTATGGTTAGCGGTAATTATTAGGGTTAGCGGTAATTATTAGGGTTAGCGGTAATTATTAGGGTTAGCAGTAATTATTAGGGTTAGCAGGAATTATTAGGGTTAGTAGTAATTATTAGGGTTAGCGGTAATTATTAGGGTTAGCGGTAATTATTAGGGTTAGCAGTAATTATTAGGGTTAGCAGGAATTATTAGGGTTAGTAGTAATTATTAGGGTTAGCAGTAATTATTAGGGTTAGCGGTAATTATTTGGGTTAGGGTAATTATTATGGTTAGCGGTAATTATTAGGGTTAGTAGTAATTATTAGGGTTAGCAGTAATTATTAGGGTTAGCGGTAATTATTATGGTTAGCGGTAATTATTATGGTTAGCGATAATTATTTGGGTTAGCGGTAATTATTAGGGTTAGCAGTAATTACACAGGTCTGCAAAAAGATTTTTTTCAAGAGCTGTTTTGGTTATTCCACGTAATCTTTATGTTTTTTGGTGCGCTGAATCTGAAAATTACCTCCATTTTGTCATAGGACATCACGTTTCCTGACAATTTAGGTAACTATGTTAAATAAGGCAATACCTCAAAATAAATGGAAATAGACTTATAAAATTAAAGTTTTATTACAATTTTTTTCATGAAAGTCCTTTTTTGAACTGAAATGAGCTCACCTACACACACTAAACTCGATTCTTCTTCCCTGTGAGGCTCCTCTTGGTGCATTTACGCTTGTGAGTAGCATCTGGAATGTCTCCCTGAAGCATCCAACAGTAGTCTGCCATCATTCTGTTTGACTTCTTTAAATGCAATCCACCCTTCTTTTTGAGGATCCGTCATGTTATTGACAAACTCTTGATCAGCTATAAGCCTTCTAATGTCTGGTCCGATGAACACACCTTCCTTCAATTTTGCCTCCGACAGGCCTGGAAACTTGGTGACCAAGTATTTGAAGCATTCTCCATCTCTTGGAAGTGATTTTACGAATTGCTTCATCAATCCCAATTTTATGTGGAGAGGTGGTAGAAGAACTTTATGGGAAGGTACCAAAGTTTCTCGAAGGACATTTTTTTCACCGACTGTTAGCACCCTGGGCTGCCAACTCTAATTGGTCCAGTGATTTTGTTGGTCTCGACTGTCCCATAGACACAGAAAACAAGGGTATTTGGTATCCCACCCACTGGATTCTTCAGGAAAGATTAACCCCTTCTACCATTAGAAGCACAGACTGAGGGCTGAGGCTTACACATACAGCATGCTGCTGAGTATCCAAGTAGTCAGACATGTCACTCAGAGCAGCACTTGTATTCATCCCCTTTGCAGGGGGGGAGGGGCAGAGATTGTTTACCTGCAAATAACAACAAAGGGCCAGAAGAGAACTAGGGAAATGAGGAAATAGACATTTTTTTTCCCCTAAAACTTGCTTAGCTTATGTATATATTGCTGACCATCAGATTTACAGTGCTATATTTTTTTTACATAACTCAGACAACCCCTTTAAGGTTTTTTTGGCATTTTATATCTTAAATGCACTTATGTGAATTAATTAATAGTAATTTAGACTTTAAATTTGGTTAAAAAACCCATAATATAAAAAAATACCAAAAATTAAAAAAATTTGATAAATTTGAAGACAATTTTGCATTTTGTGGCAAGTCATGACGTCTAGGAGTTTTTTAAATATTTTATTTGTTTTCATCACACCAAAATACATGGAAATTAGATGAAAATAATCAAACAGCTTTTTAGTCGCAGACCTGTGTTAGGGTTAGCAGTAATTATTAGGGTTAGCAATAATTATTTGGGTTAGGGTTAGCATTTTAACCCTAACAATTACCGCTAACCCTAACTCTATCTTTTAGCATTCACTATATCTGGTCTCCCCGGACCCTGCATTCACTATATCTGGTCTCCCCGGACCCTGCATTCACTATATCTAGTCTCCTCGGACCCTGCATTCACTATATCTGGTCTCCCAGGACCCTGCATTCACTATATCTGGTCTCCCCGGACCCTGCATTCACTATATCTGGTCTCCCCAGACCCTGCATCCACTATATCTGGTCTCCATGGACCCTGCATTCACTATATCTGGTCTCCCCGGACCCTGCATTCACTATATCTGGTCTCCCCAGACTCTGCATTCACTATTTCTGGTCTCCCAGGACCCTGCATTCACTATTTCTGGTCTCCCAGGACCCTGCATTCACTATATCTGGTCTCCCCGGACCCTGCATTCACTATATCCGCTCTCCCCGGACCCTGCATTCACTAAATCCGGTCTCCCCGGACCCTGCAGTCACTATATCTGGTCTCCCCGGACCCTGCATTCACTATATCTGGTCTCCCCGGACCCTGCATTCACTATATCTGGTCTCCCAGGACCCTGCATTCACTATATCTGGTCTCCCCGGACCCTGCATTCACTATATCCGGTCTCCCAGGACCCTGCATTCACTATATCTGGTCTCCCCGGACCCTGCATTCACTATATCTGGTCTCCCCGGACCCTGCATTCCCTATATCTGGTCTCCCACATGCAACATGGAAATGCATTTATGTTAGTAAAAATAAACTGATAAAAACCCTTTCGCAGTTAGAGAAGTCTTGTGACTTCTATCAGTGTCCAGCCGAGCACGTTAACCTCCTTGGCGGTATGATTCTTTCCGATTTTTGGTGCTGAAAGCGGTACCATTTTTTTTGCATGGAAATATGTAGTTTTTTTTATTGTAGGCCTGTAATTCTTAGGAATAACTCACTGAAATCTGTACGAACAAGAGTCTAGTAAACATCCCGGGTAGGATAAAATTTGAAACACGAAATTATAATTTAATAAATAATCATAAAAAATAATATAATAATAATACATTTAATTCAATAATATAATCAAACCAAAAACACTGAAATGTGAAATATAGCGCCAAGTTAGCACATCGCTGAGCAAAGTCGCAGAATCGTTTTCAGTGTCTGATGAGGAATTTCCCCACAAATCATTATCACTCAATTCTGCAAGTGGTTCTGATTTACTATCGCTGTTCTCTAGCTGATCTAAACCGCTTTTGACCTAAAGGGACACTTTTGGATGCCATGGACATTTCTCAGTTTCCAGGCAGAAAGAACAGACAAAATGCAGGCAGGGCGCCGGACAAAGCATTAGGGACAAAATGTATGTGAAATGGTTTGATACAGTAATGTTTTACTAGGTAAAATGTAAAAAAAAAAAAAAGACATTTTTTAAAATTTTTAAATTTCCCGCCGCCAGCGGCGCCCGTACGTCTTGACGTCACAGGGACAGGACACAGAAGCCGGATGCCGGCATCGGCGGAGGAGATGGCCGGGGACGCTGCAGGGGACACATCACAGGAGCGCAGGGTAAGGTAAGTGAAGAACAAATGCCGGAGCAGTGCCGCATGGTATTCCCGAGTGTAGCTCGGGGTTACCGTTTGTGGTACTGAAATGTTACCCCGAGCTACACTCGGGAATACCGCCAAGGAGGTTAAAGCTTGTAGGAGGAGGTTTCTTTCTGCTCTAGGAGGATGCAGGACCCCTGGCCTCTGTCTGGACGGTGCTGGTTGGCCCTGTGCTGATCACATGCACTCTCCCAAGAAAATCAAAACCTCTCTAGCAATACACACCAAACTAAGCATATGCAGAATGACTCCACACGAAATGTCTTATCAGGAGATAAGAGGGGGGCACTGGAAGATGGGGAGGATCAGAGAAGTCAGGATCAAGCAGCGTTCTTACACAATGAGGAGGATTAACCCCTTGGGTTCCACATTGCGTATAACAAGCATGCTTTACTGTGTATACAGACTGGTACTGTTGTGGGTTTAGTAACACTTTTAAGTTTATAAAAATTAATTGGGGTTAGGTGCACTTTTAAATGATTTGTTTTAACATTTGACACAAAGCACAATTTTTTTAACACTGGTTTATAATATCACAAATTTGGCTCGAACGTAAGCTGGAATTGCCATTATATACCATATATAACAGTGAAATGTGAAAATAGCAGTGATATGGCTGGAAACACCAACCTTTATGCCAAGTAACACATGAATTCCAGCTTTGTGAACTGAGCTTCATGTCACTAAATTCTCCGCCGGATTGGGACAATAAAACAAGAGAATGTTGTGTGTTAGAAGAGGTCCTAGCAGAAGGGAGTTACTCTGGGCACCAGACTCCAATGGTGGAAATCCAGCCCTGGCAGAAACGCATTTCTTATTTATTAATTTATTTATTTATTTTGGAAATCAAAATGACAGTTTTTGTCTACTTTCTTTTGAACAAGTGAAGATCCAAACAGCCATTCAGAATAAATATACTACTGCTAGCAACTGCCAGTATGGAAGGAAAACCTTAGCAGACAAGCAAATGACACTTTAGAGGTGAGGAGAGATTTACTGAGTCGCTGAGGCCTAGGACAAATACGCCGTACAAATAGCTGACAGCTCTGCCTATGGCAACCTCTCCCGTGTATTAGTTAATGGATCAGAATAACAAAAGGAAAACCCTGACTGGTTCAGATTATAAAGCACGGATCTGTTTGTTCTTCCTAATCTCTTCCTGGTTTGCTCTTTTTAAGAATCCTACACTTAATCTGAGAATTAACAGATGAATACCAGTTTTAAATAGATAACATATGGAAACATGTTCCTAACTGTTCTGTTATTGGAGAAGTTTAATAGTGCAGGTTTTTAACTTGTGGTCAGTTACTTTTCAGTTATTGGATTTTCCTGATTGGTTTAAAAAAAAAAAAAAAAAAAACCCTTACTTATGCACAAGCTATTATCAGTTCATTAGGGTCCAGTAAAACCTTGGAGGTATCATTTGTCCTTAATGAATTCTTAATTCTGTATACAGTATGTTTTTATTTATTTATTTCAGGTACTTATATAGCGCCGTCAATTTATGCAGCGCTTTACATATATATTGTACATTCACATCAGTCCCTAACCCTCAAGGGGTGTACAATCTAAGGTCCCTAACTCACATTCATACATACACATACTAGGGACAATTTAGAGAGGAGACAATTAACCTGCCAGCATGTCTATGCCCCAATACCCCAAGGAAATCCATATGTTGTGTGGTAGGTATTCGAACCAATGACCCTTGTGATGTTAGGTGGAAGTGCTAACCTCTTAGCCACTGTGCTGCCCATAGTGTAAAAAAAATTCACATCAGTCCCTAACCCTCAAGGGGTGTACAATCTAAGGTCCCTAACTCACATTCATACATACACATACTAGGACCAATTTAGACAGGAGCCAATTAATCTACCAGCATGTCTTTGGAGTGTGGAAGGAAACCAGAGTACCCGGAGGAAACCCACGCAGGCACAGGGAGAACATGCAAACTCCAGGCAGGTGGTGCCGTGGTTGGGATTCGAACCAACGACCCTATTACTCGTACAAAAGATAACTTTAACATGCTAAACCTCTCATATCCATAGGACCTGTGCAATGCTATACTGAATATCCCAACTTGCTTCCTACATTCCTCAGCCTGAAGAAAACCTGTCTTTTCCCAGGATGTACTTAAAGTTGTATAGTGAACTGACATTCCTAAATGTTGCTCCAACTATTAGAAACTCACTTGGAGATGTTGCATCCATGTATACAGTACATGCTGTGGTTCAGTTGATGTTTTTTTGTTTCCCTTAGTCCCTATCCATATCACCCCTATCTTGGAGTCCTTGCACTGGCTACCCATCAGGTTTCGCATTGACTTTAAGATCCTCTTGCTCACCTATAAGGCTCTTCGTGGCTTGGTACCCCATCGGAACTTTTATCAACTTGCTCCCTTCCTCGTAACCTCCGCTCCTCAAATTGTGGTCTTTTTTGTGTGTCCCCTACTCACCTACACTAGATGGGAGACAGAACCTTCTCCTGCTATACTCCAAAACCCTGGAATTCTCTTCCAAGGAACATCGGACAGTCATCTTCTCTAAACTCCTTAAAATCAAATCTAAAAGCATTTTTCTTTAGACAAGCTTTCACTTAATGGGTCCTTTTTTTCCTTTGTTTTATCCTGTGTATTTCTTCTTTGTTTTCTTTGTAAAGCGCTTTGAGAAGCTACCATTAAAGGCACTATATAAAAGAAAGTTTATTATTATTCTTCTCAACATAACCTTCTAGGTTACACTTTCTCATTTGTCCCCAAGCCTCAAACAAACATGCAACAGCTGTATGGTTTGAAATAAATGGCTCTAAAATATTGGACTGTGCTATACATCAGTAAGCCAGAGGGGTAAAAAGGAATCATTTGCATGGTCATGCCCAGTATCCTGAAATAAATATTAATCCTCTTCTCTTTTTGGGGTATGTGCATACCTTCTAATAAGGTTCTACTGTTATACACTGTTGCCCCCAGTTAAACATGAGCACTTTGTCACATGTTTCCTGAAGTGGAACAATGCTCAGGATGAAGAATCCAGTTATTCACAGTGGGCCCATTCCCACCTGAGTGTCCTGTCACTTGACACCTATTGTGGGAAGCATGGAAAGGTAGATGAGCTTTGTTGGGGCAGAAGCGCCCATGTTTGGCCATATAGACTTTAATAGGAGTGCCTGAAAAATGTGTGTTTTTCAAGCGCTCCCACTTAAAAAATCTAAGGGACCAAAATTGTGCAATTCTGCTGCTGTTCTACAAGTCGTGCATTAAAATGAGCATCCAGTTGCTAAAAAAAAGCCTCTAAGTTGCCTGGCTATGCTCACATTAACGCAGGTTATAGATTATGCATTTTTCTTTACTGCAACCATGCGTGCTTTGTAGTGATGGGGGGAATCCTTCCCGCAGCGTTATTGTGTTCTGTTGGTGGAGGCCTTCCCTGAAAACACAATGATTACTGTTGCTCGCTACATCATGGGGGAAAAACCCGACAGGCTGGTTGTACACAAGTCAATCAATAGACCGACTTGTGTGGAACCTGGGATGGCCATACATGGATCGAAATTCAGCCGGTCTCTGCTAAACCGGCCAGATTTTGATTCATGTATGGTCGGCTTAAGGGTGCATTCACACTAGGGTCAGTTTAAGTGAACAATGCCCATATTTGATTCTCCCCACTGGTCTGCACCCACACTGGACTGTAAGGAAGTGTCCCCAGGAACACTCTCCTGCTAACCCGACCAGTGATTCCTGCTTAGGCACACAGCCCTCTATAGAGAACTGTGCTCCAGCATGGTTGGAACTCACACTGAAGCAAACCACACCGCACCACAAGTGAACTATGTTTTCCAAGTGGTCCTAGACGTGGTACGTCTAACCGATCCTGGAGGTGGTTCAGAGCACTCATTCTACACAAACACAGCCCAGGACCGATTCAAACTGCCAGTGTGATTGCACCCTAATGAATGGGGGCTTCTTGTTCTACAAATACTGATGCTTACAGTCTTGTGACTTTCTTCCTGAGTGCTAGGTGCGAGGGTTTGCTACAATAGTCGCACAGTGTGTTTTAAAAAGGGGAAAAACTGCTAGAAAAAAGCAGTGGTGAGCCAATCACATAAACAAAAAACTACATTTTGGGGAGGTGTGCGCTACTTTTGGCAAGGTAGATATGGCTGCAGGGAAGTGT